AACATCGATGAGAGAGAAACATCCACCAGCTGCCTCCTGCACCCCTCCTACTGGGGATGTGCCCGCAACTCAGGTACATGCCCTTGACCGGAATCGAACCTGGGACCTTACAGTCCACAGGCTGATGCTCTATCCACTGAGCTAAACTGGTCAGGGCCAGAGCCAGTGTTTTATAAGCTTCAGCTTCTGCTGGTTTGGGAGACTGACTGGGTTCTTGAATTCAAGGTGACGTTTGGGGTCCTTGTCCTGAACCTGTTAGGGAGACGAGGCGGCGGGCGTCCCGCTAACAGTGCAGGCATCACTGGGGACCTCAGTCCTCTCTTCCGGAGCCGCAGCTGGGAAGGTGACGGCCTGCGGGCCCACCTGCCTCCTCGACGGGGCGCAGCTGCCCTCTGCTGGCCGCAGGCCGCACCCGCAGGAGTGCGCCCTCAGCCACACGTCTCCCCAGTCCCACGTGACAAAGTGGCCGGGGTCGCAGTGCGAGAACTTCAATAGAATCTTCGACTGTGTCCTCTGGAAATTGGAATAAAATCCTTAGAGTAATTAAGTTCAAAAATCGGACTGCAATTCACTCTCATTGCCTTTAATACTCACCTAACAGGAGGTCGGCTCCATCGTGGCTTTTGTCGTGTGACTACCTGTGTTTTTGTGTGTTTGCTTCTGTGTTTGTTCTGGTTACAGCACATGCGTGTTTTCACGAATGTATTATATATGATTTGGGAAATAAGGTCTCTCTCTATATTTTTAGCGTGCCTATTTTAGGACAATTTTAAGGGCATGATAACTAATAAAGAAGAGATTTTACTTTAAAAGATGAGATATAATTGCCCGGCCAGTGTGGCTCAGTGGTTGAGCATCGTCCCATAAACCATGAGGTCAGGGTTCCATTCCCGGTCAGGACACAGGCTTGGGTTGCAGGCTTGATCCCCAGTGTGTGTCGTGCAGGAGGCAGCTGATCCATGATTCCCCCTCATCATTGATGTTTTTTTCCTCTCTCTCTCTCTCTCTCTCTCTCTCTCTCTCCCTCTCCCTTCCTTGCTCTAAAATCAATAAAAACGTATTTAAAAAAATAAAAGATGAGATAAATCTACTCACCAGGAACTTTATGAAGCCCTAAAGCAGCGGTTCTCAACCTGTGGGTCGCGACCCCTTTGGGGGTCAAACGACCCTTTCACAGGGGTCGCCTAAGACCATCGGAAAACACATATATAATTACATATTGTTTTTGTGATTAATCACTATGCTTTAATTATGTTCCATTTGTCACAATGAAATTGGGGGTCACCACAACATGAGGAACTGTATTAAAGGGTCACGGCATTAGGAAGGTTGAGAACCACTGCTCTAAAGGGAAGGCATCTCCTCTCTCTAACTTTCTAAATTCTGGGTCTATGGGAGCTTGTCTCCCTGATGGTGAGGACGACGGAGGGGCTGTGGGTGTGGGCGAGTCAGGTTCGTGGGGAATCGTTACTGCTTCTGGTCTGGGCGGTGTGACGGATGGGGGTGGGGGTGGAGACACCTGCCGAGGCCAACAGCCCATTGGGTGCGGACACTCGGGAGTGTGGCCTTTCTGTTGGGGAAAGCCTTCTCCAGGAGCTCGGTCAGCGACGGCCCTGCCTCCCACTGACTCCTGTCCAACCAGCAACTGCACATGGCCCTGGACCCAGGCAGTGCCAGAGGGCTGCAGATGGGCCAGGATTGGGCGGTGCCGCGGGCTGGGAAGGGCTGGGATCCGGGTGGTGCTGAGGGCTGAGGCTCAGGGGTTGGGCGGTGCCGAGGGCTGGGATGGGCCGGGATCTGGGGGGTGCTGAGGGCTGGGAAGGGCTGGGACCCAGGCGGTGCCAAGGGCTGGGGCTCAGGGTTTGGGCCTGGCACCTGCTGTCCAGAGGGCACCCGGCACTAACGAGGCTGAGGCTCGCTCGGGAGGCAGAGCTGTGGTCGGAGGCCCGTCGTGCACCGTCCGCCTCACTTCCCTTTTGAGTCATGTCCTTGCTCAGAGGAAATCATTCGGACGAGGGTGAGCGTCTCCTTCCGCCGCCTGTTTAAGGAGGAAGTGTCTGGGCGCAGAGCTGCAGGCGTCCGAGGGCGTGGGAACCAGGCACCAAAGACCCCCTCAGACGGGCACTCGCGGGCCTGGCCCTCATGTCTGAGCTCTGGTCCCACCGCACACACGTGTGGAATTAAACTTGATGGGACAGAATCCTTACGAAGGTCTCGAAGGGTTTGCAGGAGAAAACACAGTCACAGACACTCGTGGAGCAGATTTCTCCCCACCCAGCTCGCCGGCTCCCCATCCGGCTCCCCGGCTCCCCGTCCGGCTCCCGGGCTCCCCGTCCGGCTCTCGGGCTCCCCGTCCGGCTCTCGGGCTCCCCATCCGGCTCCCGGGCTCCCCGTCCGGCTCCCGGGCTCCCCATCCAGCTCACGGGCTCCCCATCCAGCTCCCAGGCTCCCCACCAGGCTCTGCGCGGAGGCTGCGCAGGGAAAAGTAGGTCCCCAAAGAGCCCCCGTCCGGCCGGGCCGTCAGCAAAGATACGAGCACACGCCGGTCACTTGCAGCAGCAGAGAGACAGCCGCTGGCTGCGTCCGATGGGCAGGCGCTGTGCTCAGCCCACCGGTCGGTACCGTGTTCAGTCCCACACGCTCCCCGCTGGTCTGCATCACCCCCGTGTCACGGTAGAGGATAGTCCGAGAGGTGTGGTGATGTGTTCCGGGTCACGGAGCTGGGAAGGGACAGAGCAGGGCGTGGACCCCAAGGCCCCGACTCGGCCACTGACCCGGCCTCGGCCCTGGCTGCACGTGGACAGTCAGGAGGCAACTCCAGGCCCCGAGTTGGAACCCGGTTGGCTGAGGCCCGTGTTTTCTAGAAGCTGCTGGTCCCCACCGGCCGCGCTGAGCTGGCCCAGGGCCGGGCAGGAGGAGGGCCGCCAGCTCTGCCCACGAAACCGGCAGCAAGACCCTGAGAGGCAGCCGCACTGGGCTGTGACTTCCCCATTTGCCGGCTGACATGTGAGCTGTGGGGGGGGGGGGGGGCAGCTGCAGCCTCCTGGGGTCACGGGAGGGCGGAGGGACCGTGTCTGGGAGGCACCTGTGTCTGGGCGGCTCTGCCCACCTGGGCCGAGTGGGCAGCTGTGGGGTCAGACGGCCTGTGACCTCGGGGTGGAGTCCCTGTGGGGAGAGCCATGGCCTTGGTGTCCCTGGGCAGGGAAGCGGTTAGGAAACGTCACCGGAGAGACGACCGGGTAACCCAGGAAAGAAGCCTGTGTGGATGGAGCGTCGGCTGCGGACAGAAGGGTCCCGGGTTCGATTCCCGGTCAAGGCTCGGGTTGCAGGCTCGATCCCCAGTAGGGAGCGTGCAGGAGGCGGCTGATCCATGATTCTCTCTCAGCATGGATGTTTCTCTCTCCCCCCCTCTCCCTCCCGCTTCCTCTCTGAAACCAATAAAAATGTACGTCCTTTTAAATTGCCCGAGGGGAGTTTAGGGACGTGGGGATGTCAAAGTGAAAGGGCGGCTTTTCCAGGCAGCACCTGAGGCTGCAGAGCGGGGAGCTCCGGGGGGACCAGGGGCGGTGCTTTCAGCGAAAGGGAGCACAGGCCGAGGACGGCCCCTCGGGGGGGTGGGTGGGGGGGTGGGGGGTACCGGCCTTTCCGTCTGCGCCGCTCGCACTCCCCTCAGCCCTGAGAGTCTGTGGTCCTGGGAGGGAGGAGCCAGGGCAGCCTTGGGGCGCTGCTGTGGGAACCAGGCCCCGGGACCCTGAGCCCAATCTTCTCCGGGGTCAGGTGTCAAGGTCAGGTCTGATCAGGACCCCCCTTCCCCCCCTTCCCCCCTCCCCGTGGGCAGGCAGGTCCGAGTGGCAGTGGTTGTGCCATTTCTATTGCCCAACGCCGTGCGTTCCAGCCTTAAATGTTACACAGTCACGGGACCACCCTCTCTGTGGGCAACGCAGGCCTGGCTCCTGGGAGGCGGCCAGGTGAGTGCTGCCAGGTGTGGCCGCGGGGACCCCATCATTACAAAGCAGCCCTTGCGCCTCCTCTGAGCACATGGCCGAGTCCCTGTGGGGACCCCACGTCCAGGTTTGAGCAGGGAATGAGGTGAGGGGTCAGGAAGGCGACCCTCACACCTTTTCGTCGCCGTCATGAGCTACACGTTAGGGCCGTCCTTTGAGAGGAGTGACGAGCGGCAATGCGGCCGCTGCCCGCGTGGCCAGTGCTGGGTGCAGCCGCCCACCTTCCCTGCAGGCCCCCAGGCGCCCTCTGCCCCGTCCTGTGCGGCATCGAGTGGGATCCCCCTTCACAGCCCTGGCCCCTCAGCCCGGCTTCCTCCCGGGGCCCCCAGCACCGTGGCTTCACAGCCGGGGACACGCGGAGGGTTAAAGGCATTTGCAAATTCAAATTTAGAACACTGTTCCCGAGGGATTGCGAGACATTTACTGAGAAAGTGTTTGTTACAATGACCAGGGCGCTGCGCCGTCTCTGACGTAACGGACAGTCTGTGCAAACAAAGCAAAGAGCATGAACCTGGACCGACCGGTGGCCAGCCCGCTGGGTGCAGACCCCCCACCCCAGCCCTCCGTGGGCCGCCAGTCCACCAGCCCCGGTGTCCGAGCAGCAGGCGGGAAGCGCACACACGTGCATTTACCAACAAGCCAAGGAGAGGAGCATGACTCACGGAGAAGAGATAGCGTGAGAATGACAGGGCCTCCGGCTCCTCCCCCACGGGGTCCGCCCTGGATGGCCCTGAGGGGCTGCGGTGTGGCCATGTCACGGCAGCCGCACTCATGTGGACCGGGAGGCCCCGCGTCCTGTCTGGATCTGCGGCTGTTTCGTGCAGCAGCCGAAGAAAGTGCTGGCGAACAAGGTGAAGAATGACGTCCGTTTTGCTGACGACTGTGGTCTCTCCTTGCAGCGCAGTCTTGAGGTTTCTCTTTGTCCGGATCCTGACAAAGGTCTCGGGGCTCCCAGGAGCCAGGGCAGGGTTCCCAGGAGCCTGGGGCGGGCCGTGCTCAGGAGTCCGAGTCCCTGAGGTCGCAGCTTGGGGCCTGGGTGCCCGGCCCTCGGCCCCGGAGGCTGAGGAAGACCTTGCGGTAGGAGTGGCGGAACGCGGGGTTCGAGAAGCAGTACACCACGGGGTTCAGCACGCTCTGCAGCCCAGTCAGGCTGCTGGCCACGTCGGCCGCGAGCACCAGGGCCCGGCGGGCCCCGCAGCCGCCCGCGCCCCGGCACACGGCCAGCGCCACGTGGGCCAGGAAGCTGGGCAGGAAGCAGAGCACAAACAGCGCCACGACGGCGGCCAGCAGCGCCCGGGCCCGCTGCAGCTTGGGCTGCTTGCCGGGCGCCCGGAGCCGCCTCCGCAGGGCCCGGATGATCGCCGCGTTGCAGAACAGGACGAGGCCGAAGGGCAGGATGAACTGGGCGAAGGACAGCGCCTCCTGCCAGGCGCGGCCGGAGGGGCCGCCCGTGCTGGGGTCCGACGCCGGGCACTCGGCCTCGGGCACGAGCAGGCTCTGGTGGTTGAGCGCGGCCATCAGGAGCCAGACCAGGCCCGAGACCCCCCAGGCCGCCCGAGGGGACAGGAGGTTGACCCTGAGCAGCGGGTGGACCACTCGGAAGTAGCGGTCCACGGCCACCGCCGTGAGGAAGGCCACGCCCGCCCCGCGGCCCAGGGGCCACAGGAAGAACAGGGCGCGGCAGGGCGCGGGGCCGAGGCCGCAGGTCTTGTGCCGCAGGAAGAAGGCGGCCAGGAAGGGCAGGCAGAGGGTCAGCAGCAGGTCGGCCAGGACCAGGCTGAGCAGGTAGACGGCGGGCGGCTTCCACACCTTCAGGCGGAAGAGGAGCGTCCACAGGGCCACGGCGTTGCCCAGCAGGCCCAGCCCGCACTCCAGCGCCAGCAGCGAGGCCACCGCCGCCTCCGCCCCCACGCTGTGCTCCGAGCAGTTAGCTGGCGGCATGGCCCGGCTCCCAGCGAGCGGACAGTCCGCCCGCGGGGATGCTCTCGCCCAAGGGGAAGGGAAGCCTCTCCTGC